GAAAAGGTCGGAGAGGTGATGACGGTCCTTTAACGTTCGCGCTCGTATTTTACTCCGTTATGTCCCTTTTCTCTGTCATCTTGGAACCCAAACGGTTCACCAGATGTTCTTGTGGCCATTTATCCCCTACCGCGTTCTTACTTCACAGATATCCCTTTTGTTCTTAGACCCCCCTTTCTCCTGCTTGCTTCGACCCGATATTTGTTCGCGCGCGTCTCGACAAAGCTCTCCCTCTCTCTGTCGACATTCCCCCCTGTTATTTATCGTCGCGTCGCGTTTGTTTTACAATTCGAGAAAGTTTTCGTCTCATCTGGGCTTTGTCACTAACACATCCCCTTGACCCGATTCTGTCTTCGAAACTTTCTGACGTTAAAGTTTGTAATTAGTCGAAATTTCTACGTGCTTTTACGACCCTCACAAATGGGAATATAAGTACAGGTGTTAAAAAATGTATCCAACATAATATACACCATACAGAGTAAAAAGACTTTAATAAACATAGATTGAAACTCAACCATTTATGTGTATTGATAATTTTTTATTTATCATGACTGACTTATTGGCTTCTAAATGTTGCATGTGACATTAAAAGAGAGGATAATCTTGTCAGATTTTTACCTTCACATTTAAAGGTGCTTCACATGCCTTCCTTCAATTTCCACACATTTTTGGTATCATCCTAGAGTTGCAATCCCTCCCAAAAATTTTGGGTTTTTATGGATTATCTCAGAAATGGTTTTTTTACTCAGTTTGGTGTCTACTACTTACCATATAAAAATACTGAATACTTTTAACATACTCATGAGACTGAATATGGTTTAATACTAATAAGAGATACTTTTTATGAAACTTTTTCTGAATGATTTTAATCTCTCATATATTAGGTAATGTGAAAGAGATATTACCCATTATATCAGTCAATACTTGTAGAATTTATTACAATTAAAGTTTCAAATACATAAAAATTCACAAATTAATTTTAATTTCTGAAATAAGTACTGAATTGCTAACTGCAGATATCAATTAGTTAATTGTTTTCTTAATGAATTTTGAATTATGAAATTATGTATTTATGATATACGTATTTACAACATGTTATATGCTTTGTAATAGATATTTGTAATAATTAAAATTAATTTTTTTTTTTTCTGTTAGCATATTTATTTTTATAAATCTTATTAATACCATTTATTATTAAAATATATATTTAATTTTGAATATTGTTATAAAATCATTTTGTAAATTTTCAGTTAACAAAAATCGAAGATTTTACAATTATAAAACCAATTAGTCGAGGAGCATTTGGGTAATTAATTATTTTAATATATATGTTACTTTACTGTATACATATATTTGTTAATATTTTAGATTTTGTGAAATATTTTTTTAAATATCAAAATAGAAAAGTGTTTCTTGGACGTAAAAATGAAAAAATCTACGCCATTAAAGTAATGAAAAAGTCTGAAATGATAAATAAAAATATGGTGAACCAAGGTATAATTATTAGTTTTTTTTTGAGTTATTTAAATTTTAATTTATTTAAATTATTTAACTTATAATTTTATTATAAATTTTCATTTTCAGTTTTAGCTGAACGTGATGCTCTTGCAATTAGCAGAAGTCCATATGTTGTGCATTTATTTTATTCACTTCAATCAAAACAGAATATATACTTGGTAAAATATATATTAAATTTATAAAACCAGCTATTATGATTGTATATATTTATTATAAAATTAAAATTCTTATTTTCCTAATATAAGATAATGGAATATATGATTGGTGGTGATGTGAAATCACTATTGAATATTTATGGCTATTTTGATGAAGATATGGCAATTTTTTATGCAGCAGAAGCAAATCTTGCATTAGAATATTTACATCAGCATGGAATTGTTCATAGGTAGTTATATGTAAAAATTTAAATATAAGAATATATATGAGTGTTTAATATATCACTTTTCCTAATAATTTGTTTTTATTATTAGGGATTTAAAACCAGATAACATGTTAATAAACAGTAATGGACACATTAAATTGACTGACTTTGGTCTATCGAAAGTTAACTTGAATAGACGTAAGTAATATATAGATAAAAGTTTAAATAAATGAGTTCTTAAGTCTTTTTTTAAAAAAAGGAAGGAAAATAAAAAATTTAACTACATATCATATGTTATTTGGTTATAATCCAATAACATTCTAAAATGATTCATTGAGTCATTAAGTAATATCTTATGTGCAATAACTTATTACTATTCTTTAAATTTTCAGTGAAATAGTTTACAGTAAAATTTGTTTCAGATTATCCAAAAATATTTTTTGGATAATCTGAAACAAATCTTTCTGTAAACTATTTTACTGAAAATTTAAAGAACAGTGTTTCAGGTTATCCAAAAATATTTTTTTCAGTATATTATTTATCATTATATTAATATGGGGTTTCTCAATATACCATAGTTGGATGAGCCTATTGTATTATGTCAGGATGATTGACTGGTGTCAATCATCCTGACATAATACAATAGGCTCATCCAAGTCAGTTTTTTGAGAAATGACAAACTTGGTTCACAAATGTGAACCAATTTTCCATGAGTAAGTATATAATTGTATAGCAAGGAGGAGATAGGAGACTAGCCTTTATTTTCTATTCTAATAACAAAATTTATTTTGAGTTAACACCACCATATATTCTGGGCATTTTGAGGTAAGTGTGACATCTACATATTTCTTTAAGAGGGAGAGGGAGAGAGCAACTAGATTTTTTTTCCTCTCTGGATTGACTGGAATCTTGAACTATAAGTGTTCAGATTAGCAAGGTCCTACTGTAAATACAATCAATTATTCCCAAACTGTCCATTATAATAAGTGAAGTAAAATGTTATATTTATCAGCAAACTATTAAATGAAAGAAATAACAGTTTTGGCTTCTTGTAGAGATGATATTCAGATTTACAATTGCTTGAATTTGAAAAAGAAATTTATCTTTTGATTTTTTTATTAAATTATTTTCTGATAAATACTGATGGAGTAACAGATTTAGAGGGCTGTCTGTGTCGTACTACAAACTTAACCCTTAAGAAGTAGGAAAGAAGGTCTAGAAAAGTGAGAAGAATTAGTGGGAAGAAGAAACAAAGGGAGATAGGAAAGTCGGAAAATAAGTGCAACTGGGGTCACCCCCATGGGGTCCCACGAGCGCCAGCATCGGGTTCTGTTTTTTAAAAGCAAAATAAAGGTTACAGTTTGCAACAAAATATACAATTGGTTTACATGAAAACAGATGAATGCAACAATTTCATGCATTTTGCATGATATAAATAGTTTGTTCTTGTTAACAGGATGACAATGGAGTACAAGACATGCTATTTGCATGCTAACAGTACAATTCTTTCATACCTGTGATACAATTATATAACAGGATTGAGTATATACACTATTTACAATGTCTTTGTGGTCAATCATAATACACTTGGAATTGTGAAGCCTTGCTACTTACAAGGCTGCAACAATAATAGCAAGTCTTCTGTCCTGAAGCCCTGTAGAGTCTAATATAAGTCGTAGTCGCTGTCCTCACTATCACTGCTAAAGATCTCACTCCTTTGTGAGTCCGATTCCTCCGGAGTGTCATTGTTGAGATCCGAATTAGTACCTTGAGTTTCCATGTTGTAGTGATAGTCAGGTAGCAGTGCTTTAGTTTTCCTGACAAAATTTTCTAGTTGTTCCCAGATTTCCTTTCTGTTAAATATTTCATTTGCTTGGGGTCTCCATCCAACTCCTTGTGTTATGCATTCTCTATATAATGGATATCTGAATTGGTCGTAGATGTTACAATCATAGATGTAGTGGTTTGCGTCCCCTTCGCTGACTCCATCACAATGGCACTTTCCATTATCTGTTTTTTTAATCCTGTGCAAATAGGCAGAGAATTTGCCGTGATTCGTTAATACTTGGGTGGTTTCGTGCCTTATCCTAAAATGCTTATTTTTTAACCTATCCTTTATGTATGGTATATAACTGAAGCAATGTCTTCCGGTGCTCGATTGGTTCCATTCGCTCTGCCATTTTTCTATTTCCCATTGTCTTAGGTGATGATTGAGTGCAGAGTTCGGTAGTCTTTTATACGTGATGTTTGTATTATGGTGACATGCCTTTTTTGCCAGGAGGTCTGCGGTCTCATTACCCTCCTTGCCTCTGTGTGCCGGGATCCAATTGAATTTTATAGTTCTGTTGTTTGCTACCTTTTGGGCTTCTTTAATCATTTCACTGCCCAGCATGGTGATGTTTCTGTTTTTCTTTAATGTATGCAGTGCCATTCTGCTGTCAANGCCGGGCCCACCTGCTAGTATATATATATCTGTACATAAGAATAAAAATAATTATACAGGTTGACCCAGACCCTCTGTACATCTCTTTTAAAATGAAGGAAAGTCAGTTTCATCAAAAATCTCAAAAGTTTCGATAAGTAAATCTGGTATTCTCTATCAAATAATGATACAGTGGAACTTCGGTATACGACCTTAATCCGTTCCTGATGTTTGGACTTATACCGAACCAATCTTTCCCATAAGAAATAATGTAAAAATGATTAATCTGTTCTCATGTAGAAAAAAAAATGGCTGGCTTTAAACACCTCACTTTCCTGGCTAGTTCCTGCTTGAATTTTCATGAGATCAGCATGTATCTTTTTAGCTTTCTCGCAAATAATTGCTTCTGATACGTTGTCTCTAGCACACTGTTTTTCAGTTATCCAAAGCAAAAGCAATTTCTCAACATGATCTAATGTCTTTGATCTCTGTTTAGAAATTGACTTAACCCCTTTCGCAATGTTAGCATATTTAATAATGTCTTTATCATATGTATCGTCATTCTCAGAATGCAGTATAAAACAGTTAAAATCTCGAACACGCATGCCACCTTCATATTTCTCAACAATCTCTTTTTTCAGTTCAATTGTGATTCTGGTCATTTTTTTTAGTTTTCTGTTGCTTTTCATTTGCCTTTTTGCAATTCATGATTAATAAAAATAATAAAATTTTACTTACAAATTAAAATCAGAAGAAACTTAACAAAACTATATTAACGGTGGCACCGCGAATGTCTAGTCTAATCTCATACACTGATATGCTACTTGTTCATAGATGGCGCATATAATTGAATTAAGTCGTATACCGAGGTACCACTGTATTTTCAACTTCCAGTATTGGATGGAATGGTTTATCAAGGCCAAAAGTCAAAGTTTTAAATGGAACATGGTATTTTTTATTTTAAATTTAAATTAAACTCAAAAAAATAAGATAGTTTTGTCTCAAATGTTTTTCTGAAAATTCCTACTGTACATTGACCATAAAATGATCTTGAAAGTGTGATGATCGCTTCTTGGCAAATTACAAGCCATTTCATTGCAATATTTTTCAGCTGGCTGAATATTCAGTATCAACAAATTCTATTTACAGTTTCATTTCAATTGAGTTTTCTTGTTCAGTTACATACCTATTAAGGTGTCATAGTGATCTGAAAAGTCATGTCGTATAAAGTTCTTTGAGCTTCATATTCTTTTTCAAGCAGAATAAATGTTTGCATTGGTGAGAACAATGCTCAGTTTGAACTTTTTGATTGAACAACAGTTAAAATCAGTTATGCCAGAAGAGTTTACATAAATAAAAATATTACTTAATGTTGTAACAATTTTTGTTAGTTCAATACCAATTACATATGATTATTATGTTAACATTTTTACTATGTTTGCCTAAATCAATAGCAGGTTAATAAAAATATTTTATACTGTATTTTCTTATTTTCATAGTATCATCTTGCTCTGTGATCACATTTTCAAGATCATTTTATGGTCAATGAAGGCATTTTCAGAAAAAATGTTTGAGACAAAATTGTTGTATTTTTTTCAAGTTTAATCCATATCTAAAATTTAAAAAAATACCATGTTCCATTTTAAAAAATTTGACTTTCAGCTTGGATAATCTATTTCCAGCTAGTACCAAAAGTTGAAAATATCACCATTTGATAGAGCATACCTGATTTACTTATCAAAATTTTTATAATTTTTTATGAAACTTGTTTCTCTTCATTTTAAAAGGGATGTATAGGTGGTCTAGATCATCCTGTATATTCTTATAATTAGTTTTATTGTTATTTTTGATATTATTCATAAAACTTTTTAAAATAATGAAATTTATTGTAAAGACCTCTGCAAGAGTAAACATAAATTTTGATTTCAAAAATTGCAGTTAATTGAATTATCTAATAAAAACTAAATAACATAAATTGTGCAACATAAGCTAATCCCAAGCATACATTAGCCAATGATGATAATGTGTAATAAGGCCACACTACTTTCAATGAGGAATTAACTATAATATTTTTTAGTATGTAATATATGGTTTATACATTCTGGGCAATAAGATCTATATATAACATCAAACAACTGTTGAATATCTTCAGCAAGTTATGGTAAGAACTTTATTACACATTAAGTGTTAAAGCCAAAGTAACACTTCTAATAAAATATTAATTTACACAGTATACTACCATGATAGAACCATTTTGTATAATATACAATAGTAGAACACTACTGTAGTATATCTTTATTTAGGCTGTATCATTTAAATCAATGATGTAAATCAGGGGTCACCAAACTTTTTTCACATTGGGCCAATAACTGAGAGAATGATGAGCATGGGCCGCATAACCATTTTGTTCAATACAGCACACTGAAAACAAAAAATAAAGACAACCAGCATATTTATTTACTAATACACAAACATGATTGCTGCAGTAAGCTCATAATCGCTTTTATTAGAAACTTCATTGAAGGTACAGTACTTACACAAAAAGTGTTATGATATCAAAAGTTGCAAAAAGTCACCAAATTTTTTATTTCACTGATTTTCCTAAAAATTATATGAGTGTCAGATGCAAAAATCAGATTGGACCACTTCTGGCATTTTTACTTACAATTACTACGTAAAAAAAAATTAAAGTAAGTTTTTCTACAATCTATGATATATCCATATAAATAATTATATTTTAGTTCATTTGTGGCAGTGTGGTGGAGGGCCAGATGAGCTGTCCTTGCAGGCCGAATCCATCCCATGGACCATAGTTTGGTGATCCCTGATGTAAATAAACAGTCAATGGTGCCATAGAGTCAGCTTCAAAATAATGAGTCCATTACACTGTTAGCATTGTTATATACTTTATCAAACACAACTTTTAGTTGTAGATATCTGTGGTGACCTGCTGGAGTTGTGGTTAGAAATGTACAGCAATTGATAGGAACATTATTCCACTTGTTTAGCATTGTTAGCAAAGGTTTACATTTTATACCTGATGTATAAAAGGATTGACTTAATCCCCGATTTTGGGAAAAAAATTTTTTTCAGGCTTAGAAAGTTGACAAAAGCCACAATTTATGGTATGTATGAATTTTTTTTAGTTTAATTGTAATTAGTTTATTTTCAGAATAATTCTCCTTCTGAAACTCGCCATTTATCTTTATCTGGTACTGCTTGGATGTCTTATGAATCAAATCTAAGTTCCAAAAAAATACATTCAAATACAAAATCTACACCAGAATACTGCAGTTCTTTTACAAAACGATTACAGCAAGTAAGAAGTGAATCATTAACTACAGATTCTAGCAATAATGCAAAAATAAATGAAAATGGTAAGAAAATGTTTTAAACATTTTCAAAATTGATAAAATTCAGAATTTCAGAATTTGAATCTTAGAATGTAATACTATTAATATATATATATAGTTTTCAATTAAAATTATAAAAAGTTTTATTACTATGTTGTCCCAGCATATAATCGTCAGACTGATCAATTCAAGTGATCTGTAATATAAGAAGGAGAAAGTTTTTCCTGCTGAAAGAGCTAATTGAGCTAATTTTATTACTATGAATATAAATCTTACAAATTCATAATTTAAAACAACTTGTAAATTTTTGAATTTTTTCCTATAAAAAATTTTAATCAATCACTACATAAAAATTAGCATAGAATATTAGCATAGAAAATTAGCATAGAATATTTTTTTACCTATTCTTTCCATATTACGGACACTAAGAAAACCCTTTTTTAGGTTCATTGTGAGTTCAGCCAGGTCCATAATGGAATGACTGAGTGTGAAGCATAAGGCCTGATATATTTGGGACAAGACCATCTTCCAAAAACTTCCTTGTCCAGACTCAATCCCTGATCTTCCAGAACAGTAGGCTCATGCCTTAACCACCTTGGGCCCTGGTTAATAAATTTTACAGGTCTCATTACATTTCTTATATAAACATAAAGTTCACAACTGGTATACAGGTATGCAGTGAGAAATTTCTTTGTGTGGGTCACCTAAATGGCAGCATAGGTAAATAAGCTACTATAAGAACATAATAGCTCATGACCACTAGCAATATATTGTGCAAGGAGCTGCCATATCTGAATGACTGCTCATTGCACAATAAGATGGTGATAGTGGTCAAGAGCTTGCATAACCATTGATGAAAACTATTGATACATATGATCAAGCTCAATGAAAAAGAAAAGGCTGAACAAGAACAAGTATTAAATTTTATTATTCCTTAACTTATGGTGTTCATGTGGACTAATATTTGCACCTTTGTTTCATCCAGTGGTCAACTGTTTGTAATTTTATTTTTTATACTATTTAAACTTAAATGGGGCAGGGAAGTGAAAGGCAGAAGAACATTAGTATGGGAAACACCACTCCTATGAGACTACATTCCTGGATATGATTAAAATAAAATTAAATATAGTATTTTATACAAAGTATAATATTCTTTGTTGGTTATCTTGGTATGATATATAATTCAAACTAATTTCAGGAAATATATTTCTCAGTTTATGACAGTGAGCCTATAGGAAATAGGATATGTCAATGATTATTTTCTAAAAATAAATTTGAAATCTGAAAACAGTTTTATGTAATGAAATCTTCTGAAATACATCCATGGATTTGTCATTATGGATATATGAAAATACACATAATAAAAGTTACCTATATTCATATGTGAAAATTCAATATAAATGCCTGGTGACCAAATGATGAGATGGTGAAAGTGTCAGCTTATTGTCATAAAAGACTAGAATTGAATCCCAGTTGTGAATTCTCAAAAATTTCATAGGCTATCTGGTCTGGATATATCTGGCCATTCCAGTATGGATCTGACCAAATCCAAAATAGGCATGAATAAGCTTATTTCCATTTGTAAAAATGGCTGGCAAAATTACAATTTAATAAAAGTAAAAATTACATTACAGATATTAATCATATCTTCACATTACATTACAGATACTAATTTGTAATGTAATTTTTACTTTATTAAATTGTAATTTTGCCAGCCCTTTTTACAAAGAAATATTATATTTTTAATTGTGTTGGGATTGTCATCTGTCGACATTTTAGACTGTTTTACATATTTGTGCAGAAGCATAGCCTCTAAATAAAGGTTCTCTCTGCAGTGGAAAATAGTTGTTTCTGGTGATTGGACATGGCAAGCTGTGAAGTAGTATCTGTAATGTAATTTCATGATTCATTTTTAAATTGTTATTTACAATAATTAATGAGCTGAAAATTTTTAATTTATCAAATATAAATTTAATGTTTAAACTAGAATTATTAAATTCACAATTGTCCACAAAATTATTATTGATGCTGATTGTTATTTGCAAATATTTTCTTCAATTTATATAAATTAACTTGGAAAAAGCATTTTTTCAGTTATACTTTTATTTGTTATTAATATTGCTATTACACTAAAATTTGTCATAATTTCTAAAAACAATCAGTTGATCATGAATTTAAAAGGACTCTTTAATTTTCATAATGACTTTTATTTCTTTTTTTAATTAGCATGATTTTAAAATTAAATGATGATTCAAGAGAGATTAACTGGAGAAACTATCTTTCTGTAATCTCTGGTAAATGTGTTTTAAATAAGTTCAAAACTTTTGAATGAAAAGAATTTAAAAAGTATTGAATAAATTTATAAATACAGTGGGTGATCGGTTAACGAACAAATCGGATAACGAACACTTTCGCGAAAGATTTTTATGATCGGACAACGAACACATGATTGGATAACGAACACTTCACTGAACAGACATAAAAAGAAGCGACGAAAATAGCAAATACCAACTGATTTTCCCTTGTTTTCAGGTAACTTTTTGGAGCGCGGGAGACCTCAACGTCGACACTCAACCTGATAATATACTGATTAGATAGTATCCCTCGAACTTTGAAATACTCCCTTGTAATTCCAACCTTTTATTTTTCTGACAAACAATTCTTTTATAGTATTCGCGAGACTGTCGGGCGGGCACTCATTAAGTTTTGTGTCGGTTTTTATTTTCNGGGTACGACTTATATACAGATGTATAAGTGCACCTGTCACTGTACAGATTTCCCACCTGATGATGAATCTCTATCAATTTCACACTTTTGCTAAACAAAAATCTTACAATACTTCACTGTTACTGCTTGCTGCATTTGTTTCAAATACAATTATTTTTCAAAAGTTGCATTTTAAATACAAGTAATTTGTGAAATTCTTAAAAATTATATCTCATATTTTTATCTTTTTAAATTCTAAATATAGCAAGTAGTACTAATAAAGAAAATGAAGGATCAGACAGTCAAATAGAATTGAGTAATGAAAAATCCTCTTCTCAATTAACATCTGATCCAATTGGAACAACACCCAGCAGGAAACTTCGAAAACGTAAATCTTCTAAAACGTTGCAAGATTTCCAAGCCAAGAGACATTATCATAAAAAGCAAAGTAATGATTCTTCTGATAAATATAAGAAACGAAAACGATGCAGTTCTTTCAGATCCTCTGATAAATGTGCCAAATATAAGACTGGGATTTCTGATGAATTTTCAGAATTAAGTGTAAAAAATTTCAATAAGAAAAGGAAATTAACAATGTGTGACTCTAGTCTAGAAATGGATTCTAGTGGAAATGTGTTCAGTCCTAACAATTATCGGAATAAAAGTAGTTCAGGAAAAATTGATAGCTTGTCTGGTATAATATCTTTGACTCCTAGATTTGATGATGTTACAGCCATATTGTCAGAAAACTGTTGTGCATTAAATACATCTACAGAAGATGAAATGGAAACAAAACAATGTCTGGCAAGTAATGATGAAATTAAAAAGATGACAAGATTTGCCGAACCTCTCAATTCAGAAATTAAAAATGAAATTTATGATGATAAAAGGAAGTCTTTTAATTCTGTAACTCCCACATTTACTAATAATTCTAACAGAAATTCTGTAAGTTTTCTTCTGTTTTTTAAAATTCTATCATCAATAAAAATTAAAATATTAAACTTTGATTTATAGATAACTAAAATGAATTTTACACCTAAGCTATCTGCTCCCACGCCTTATCGTACGCCAAAGAGTGTTCGGAGAGGCCGCCAACCAAGTAGCAACTATCGTATTTTTGGAACACCAGATTATCTATCACCAGAATTATTACTTCATCAAAATCACAGTAAGTAATTTAACAAAAACACACTCAAAGTAAAAATAATTTTGAATTCTTTTCTGTAGCAATGCTGTAAGGAATTAAAATTATAATTTCATTTATAGCATCTAAATGCAATAGCATTTATATAATTTTATTATGTTTATGAAACATTTTAATATTTTTATTATTTACCTCAAACACTATGAAAACTGATTAATTAGACTATTTCAAAGTTAATTAGAAACTTCTAGGAAACACAAAATGTTTCCTAGAAGTTTCTAATTAAATCTTTCAATTAATAATATTTAAATTCAATTAAAGTATTTAAATCCTTCAATTAATAATACCAAAGTTTCAATTTGAAACTTTGGTATTATTAATTGAAAGATTTAACCACTTTGATATCATTTAAACTAAAAACAGTTGCATAAAATTATACTTATGAATGAACAACATAAATTGTATTAGTAGGTTCATTCAATGGAAACCTGGAAATATTTTTAATAGTATTTATTACAGAACTTGAATATTTACATTATCATTGTTCAACATAGTCCCCTTCCAGTTCAATGCACTTGTGCCAGTGCTAGACAAGCACACAGATACTGTGGATAAATAATTATTTTGGGCAATGTGCAGTCAACATGCACCATCAGCTTAATCTCATCATAATCCTGGAACTTCTTTCCATTAAGCATATCCTTCAGTGGACCAAAGCTATAGAAATCAAAGAGTACAAGGTCCAGTCAGTATGGAGGGTGAGGAATACACTCAAGCTACATCTCCTCAATACAGTCGACCCCCCTATAAGATATAGATACATTCCAATTTATTAGGAATCCGATTTCTTACAAGTCGTTCCAATCACAGCCCGACACGTGTCAAGTTTACGGATTATGGCTGATTGAAAGGTTTTCTTCCATAAAATTAATCGATTCTACACTAATCCGACTCAACATTTCCAAATTATATATTTTTTCGTAGTTTTATAGGAATCGTAATTATAGGGACCGTAATTATAGGGGGGTCGACTGTACTCAAGATTGTTGCAATAGTTGTATATGGCTATGCATTGTCATATTGGATACACACTCCTGCACTGTTTGTGGTAAATAGCTAGCCTCAGATGTTCTCTCAGATGGTTTGAGTTAGTGGCACTGGTCACAGTACTTCCTCTGGATGTAAGTGCTCTAAGATCATCAGCTCTTGTGTTTTCAGAATAGTCAACATGACCCTACCTGCAGAAAGCAGATACCTACGATTGCTGACCTGGAACTTCTTCAGTTTTAGGATGAGGTATGGTATCCAATACTAATGTCCATTCTTTGTCACTTTCATTCTGGCTTTAGAAGTGTATCCAGCTCTTAGTCCAGTAATGATATGCTGCAGAAATGCTTCACCATCCACCTCATACCAGCATAAAAGCTTCTGGTAAGCTTTGACACATCTTTCTTTAATTTCAGCTGTCAATTGCTTGGACATCCATCTTGCATACACTGTTGTGAACTTAGGTGTCATGGATGATGTGATAGGCTGATCCAACACTAATGTCCTATAGTTATGTCACATTTTGGACTGAGGCAATTTTTCCTTATTGTAATCATAGCTGAAATGTCTTCTATGACTGCAGTGAATACTGGTCCCAGGTAAAAAGAATTTCTCCACCCTTGTGACACATTTATTGAACTTCTCAGTCCATTTATACACTTGGGTACGACTTATATACAGATGTATAAGTGCACCTGTCACTGTACAGATTTCCCACCTGATGATGAATCTCTATCAATTTCACACTTTTGCTAAACAAAAATCTTACAATACTTCACTGTTACTGCTTGCTGCATTTGTTTCAAAAGCATTACCATCTTATTGAATTGTTTCCCAGGTTCACATGTGCTGCAAGTGTACCAACACCCTCTATTAGTAGCTCAAAGTCACTGTGTACTCTTACCAAAACAAAATGATATTGGTAATTAATGGAATTTTTAATACAACTTTTGCAGGTTTCCATTTAATACACATTGTAATTAGCATTATTTGTTTTTGGGGATTTTAAGTAAGTAATGTATGTTGGTGCTGAAACTTAGACTACCTAAGTTTCATAAATTAAACATTTAATGAATACTTTTACTTCATCAGACTGGTTAAACAAGAACAACATAATTTGGCTACATGGAGCAGATTTAGAATTTAAAAATATTGGATTTATACATAGATGTATATGTAGTAATGAGTATTATAAGGTTGGTATTAAATATAAAAATACAATGGAACTAGGTTAATAAGGTCACACATTAGAGGTTTTATTTCAAAAATCCTAATTTTTCCCCCATGAGGAATGTGTAAATTTTTCCTTCCTCTACAAAAAGTTCCTGTTTAAGAATTTCCCACTTAAATATATATAAATCCTTGTCCACAAATGAAAAAGGACTTGATTAAAAGTTTTTCAACTGAATCCTGTCAAAATTTTTATATATTTAATTGTATATGAAAAAAGAAAACTATTTCATTAGGAAATGCACAAAATGTTCTCATTTTGTGTGCAACTTTGAGCTACTCTGAACATATATTTTACGTTTTCTTACACACTTATCAGGCAACAAGGTTTGCAAACAAACAATATTAACTGCTATCAATATATGGGTTTGATTTGTTTTGAGAGAATACAGCAATGAAACTCATGGGCAGTGGTGATATTCAAAATATTTAACAAACGGTTCGCNTTAATAATGTTAATATTTTGTTATAAAATATTATTTCGTTTGGGTGAGAAAAATAACGTTTTAGAGTGGGAAAATTAGATAACAGATGCTACTTCCTTCTAGGGAAGTTAGTACATCCTCTGTTTTTATCTGCGAAAAACCTCGCTTTGATGGGAAATGTTTACCCCTCACATATTCCCCTTTCGTCCGTTCCCACGGAAGAATCTTGCATGATGATTGGTCGCCAATCATCAGATATAGCGGAAATTTATCAGAATTCAGGGAGTTTGTCGACAGACATAGAAGAGTCAGGACTCCATACATATTTGCTCTTAAAGGCCAACGCCTATACTATGAGCCATACAATATACGAAGGATTGAGTCTAGAAATACACCCAGTTAAGTTGATCTCTCCAGAAGAAAGAAGACAGAGAATTCGAGGAATGAACAAATACTTCATATACAGAGCCGAAGTTTAAAGACAACGATCAGGTTGTATGTCCTTAAATGATTTTGTGAGCTCTCTCTCTCGATCGCGTATCGGTTAGATATAAGTCCATATATCTCTCGACATATAGATTGTAATTTGTAGTCATTGTCTCTTACTACCATATTATTTGTACTATTTTTATTGATTTATGTTTTAATTAAATTTATTCTGGTTTATTTTATAAAGTAATGTCTCTCAATTATTATCGGAATAGGATTGCCCCACGCGTGTTTATCCGCGTGTAAAACAACCGATAAACTGGTGTCGGGACCCTGATGTAAAGGTGATATCGCCATCACCGACCTCCACCTTAAAATTTGGCTTAAGTAAAGACCCTCCGCCACTCGTTTCTCTACGTTCAGGAAAGGCCGTTCTTGTAGATGACAGAGAACTAGTCTTGCCGACTAGCTGCCTAGTAAGTGATACAGGCGTAACAACCTACCCTGTACCCCAGGCTGATCTCACAACAGCAACATTCACTGAACTGTTGTTGAGGAGACAAGACACTTTTGGTAGCTCTTTGGTTCATCTGGGCAATTAGTTGTCAATGGTCACATGTCTATTTGCCCAAACACATCTCTGCAGCCATCGTTCACCCCTGTCGTCTATGGCCCATACATTTGCCACATCGCTGATTTTGGATAGTGCCATTTTGCCACGCACGGTATATTTTTACCACGGCGGCAAGCAAACAGTTTACAAAATTAGCTGTTTTGGAAATGCTTCCATCCTTGGCCCGGAAGCTGATGATCATACCCTTTTGGACATCGGATAAATCGCATCATATATCCATTACGCCAATGATTGCAATGTGTTTCGCTTACCTCATATACCCTCCACCACAATGTGTTCCTACCTGCCACCTGTGATTAGTCATTTCATGTTGATGTCGACAGTAAGGGGTGGTCGGGTGGTCACATTAATGTGACTAGACTGTGTAATTTCAACTAAATAAAATAAGAAAATTAGATTTTTTACAGTTTTTCAGATCTTGAAAGAAAAATAAACTTTCAAAGCCTCAATATTGTTCAAAGTCTATAAGTCAAAAACAATATAACAAGAAAAATTTTCTCATGTTCACTTTGAAAGCATTTCACATTCATAAATTTTACCATTTTATTTGCTGAAAAAGTTTTGGTAATAAACTATATTTTAGGAAGTTTATTTGTTCTGATTTTAATTAGATTGAGTGAGTTTTTTGGGAAAAATGTTCCATATCATTCATTGCAGTGATTCTATGTTAGTCATCTAGATACCAGCACTTGCACACTTGGTATTCATTACTTGTTGTAAATAACATGTATTAAGTAGATAGTAAGAAATTTATACTGATATTCAATTACTGAAACTGATATTTGGAATTTCTACTTAATAGAAGTTTAGCATCACTCCAGTCAAATTGATGGCTTTTAAAGAGTTTCTTTTGGCATTTCAATAGATACTGTTACTGATCAGGAAAAAGAAAACAAAAGCTTAACTTTGTTGTAATAATTTTTCAAGTTAATCAGAAAGAAAAATTCTTCATAGATTAAGAAGTAAAATAAATGCAATAATTACCTTTTTATTTCCTGTTCTCTGCTCAACATTTATTTCAATCTGGTTTAATTTACCTTTCTTGAAAATTGGTGGCTGTCCTGGGAAGATTATTTCATGGGCTTGTTGCATTTTATTTAGACACCTAGTTTAAATAATATATAAATTCCATTAAACATTTATTTTTATTTTAGAACATTAAATATATACATTATATATGTAAGTATCATGCTTTATGGTTTTATTTAAAACCATTCTTGAAGTAAATTCTTATTTCTCAAGCTTACAACTTATACTGT